AAAAGTGTTCATAGCTAAAGAAGATGAAAAAAAAAGAGACGTTGAAGTATGTTATGAGGAATTGCTTGTTGGCGGGGAGACAAGGCTCTGTGCTACGCATTACGCGCTGTTATACTTTCGGCTTCGATGAAGGAAAAAAAAAGGGAAACTAAATTTTCGGGAAAGAAATTGTTAATGCGCAAAAAATTGAAGAAAATCGACCGAGGTGAGACTTTTGAGATGTGATCTGCAGCTGTCCTTTAAAAAAATCGTCTTTTGAGCCAAATAGATTTCACACAGAAGCGAATTTCTCACGCTAATCGAGGGGTAGGATGATCGCATGAGGTTCTCGTTGATGAGTTTCGTGTTGAGCATATTTTAATTAATTTATAAGTCTACGGACATTGCGGGTGGGTAACGGGGGTTATATGGAAAATAAAAAAGCAAGAAAATTTTTAAATAGAATATATTATATTTACCCGAGCGTGGCTCTTGCAATGGCGACGTTCAAGCGATTCTCGTCTCTTTGTTCTTGCCTCTTTTTCGAAGGGGTAGGGCCACCAGTCAATAATCGATTATACTAAGTTTTTTTTCCACAATGTTAAATCGGCGTCGACCGCTATTGCAAGATTCCATGCCGTAAAAGGAACATGGAGACAGATAGAGAGGGCGCAAGAGAAAGGAAGAGAGAGAGGTAAATTACGAGGCTTAAAAAGCAGACTGTACTATCGGATAGATTTTAATATATATTAAATATAAATATATATAAATATATATGTATATATACATAAACATGTATGTATATATATATTAAAAAAATGAAAGAATCATAGTTTATTATCGCAAAATAAATTACACGCATATGTACACAGAACACGTATAGAGAGAGTGAGAGAGAGAGCATGTGTGTGTGTGTGTGAGAGGGAGAGAAAGGGAAGAACATATATAAAAATACGCGAGAAGACGTAAAAATGGTACATATATGCATATATCTATATATACATATATACGGATGTATATGTATATATACATATATATTAATATTATTGCGATTATTATTATTAACATTATTACGATTATTATCATTATTATATATTATATATATATTTAAACAAAAGTTATATCGAATATATTTTAGCGCTAGTTGATAATACCTATTAACGTCGTTGCAGTTTTTGAAATGATGCGTCAGAAAATGAGAGTTGAATAAAAAAAAAATGACGATAAAGACGAGATGAAAGGGATAACGGAGGAATACGTGGTTATGACATTTAACTTTATATATAAATACGTTGAATTAACGTACTTCAGTGGGATCCAATAATATTGTAGCGGTGTAATCCCCGATTTGGTGCCTTTTTAAGCGACATAAATAATGACGATGAAAAGAAAAACTGAAAAAAAAAGGGAAGGAAGGAAATGATGGGTAAATAACGATGACGATGAAGATGAAGAAGAAGAGGCAGAGACGAGAAGTAAATGAAAGAAATTGTTATCGAAAAAAAAACGCGGTCGCAGGCGCGCGCGCGCTCGTGTATATCCCCTTTTTTTAACAAAAAAAAAAAAAGAAAAGAAAGCGCGCCCGATGATCGCTGTCTAGTGCCAAATAAGTGAGACCTTGTCGTAAAACGAGTGTAATAAGCAAACAAAAAAAAATGAAATAATGAAAATGGAACAAAAGGTGAAATTTTATAGGGAACTTTTTAGAGAAGATGAAGTCTTTTCTGACGCTGGGTAGACTTAGTATATTTTATATGCACTGATTGTTTGATTATGACTATCGATAATAAAAAGAACGGTGTTCAATAGATTATAAACCGAGGGGTTTTTAAGTCTCGCTTTGTGTATACCGACTTGTCTCACATACACGCCATTTATTCACGTCTCCGTTTTTTCCGTTGTGCGCGCGAACGTATGCTCACATTTTCTTTTTCTTTTTTTTTCTAAACCACTACTGTCCCGTGCGTGTGTGTGTGTTCGACTTCGCGAGATTCGTCGACAAACATATTGACACACACACACACACACACACACACACACACATCGATCAGTAATCGACAGGCGTAAATCATTGAAAATGATCGGACCAAGTATAGACGTTAATCGATCGTGTGTATCGAGATGAATCTCGAGAAGTCGTGCGCAACAAATCCAACGTACAAAAACACAACGCATCGAAATGTCACACACATACATAGTAAACGAGCGAATCAGAGCGACAAACTCGATGTTCAAAACCATTATTGTTTCTTTTTCTCGAAAGACCTTAGTTGTCTTGTATCGTTTGAAGTTAATCGAATTGTTCGCACTCCCCACCCTTGTGATACCGACTTGCGTGGAACCAAGCTTTGCCTACGAGCGTGTTTCTTGTACCGAGGCTTCATCCATTAACTGCAATAATACTTTAGTAAATTGCAGTTGCTGCTTTAATTTTCAACACACATCTCTACTACATTCTCTCTTCTATATCTTTTTGTTGTTGTTGTTGTTGTTGTTGTGTTACGACGTTTCGACGATATTTCGCATCGTTTATTTTCGTCACTCGATCTTAACATCGCGTCGAAGTGGAAACGAAGCAAGAGTGCGAAACTAAAATAGTGGTGGAAAAGAGAGCGAATGAGTGGTACGAAGCTCTGGATGTCAGCGACGGTATTTACCGAGAAAGTATACATAACGACAAAGAAAAACACGATATATCACGTTACACGTGCGTTTGTAAAGTTAAGTGGATTGTTCTCTGATTTACATACACGCTTGTCGAGGAAACTAAGCGGGACTGTATCCCATTCAGTCGAAATGAAAAAGGTAACTACCAATTACGCCCGAGCGGGCCCCAAGTAAACGTGCCAGTAGAAATTTGATCTTTTCTTTTTTTCTTTCATTTTTTCTTTCCATCACTTTCTTTCGTTGCGTTTCCGTTGTCGTTTCCGTTATCATTGCGTTTATACACCGTGTACACGCACGTATGTGGAACACACCAACAGACTCTCTTCATTGGATCGTTCAAATCCATAGTCCCCCGGGTTGTGCCTCTCGAGGACACACAATCATCGATCGTCGAATCACCATCAAAGTGCCATAAAGTTACTTCGCAATCGAACCACAAGTAATTGCCTGAAGTTCGTTTCATCGTCCCCGAGAGAGATGTTTCGAACGTCGTGTTGCGTTCCACAACCGTGCACACACTCTCGTAAAGATTGTCTCCGTTATTAGTCGTTTGAAACGAAAAATCCACCGCCTCCCCATGTGTATATCTATCTCGATAGATCCATGTACACGTACATACACACACACATACATATATCTATACAGACAAGAAACACCAAATTCGAGAATTCCCGCACTCACCACGAAGCACCGTTACACTTAGCCAAAAATTACTTTTATTTAGTTTCGTTTTAGCGATTTTTTCGTGGATGCGTCTCGTTGGCCGAGTTCACCCGCCAAATCGACGTCGTTGAGCGATTATTTAAGCAGCCTTCGTTAGCGTTTACTGGATTACTTTGCAAAGAAATCAGAAAACGGCGTGCCGGCGATTCGACTCGTGCCAACGATGACGATCCTTTTTAGATATTAAGATTCCTATGCCGCGGCTGGCTCGAACGGAAGCGAGATGAGGAGGTAGGGATCGTGATCTACGCGATCTGGTTTCTCTGTAATGAAGGGGAAAAGACGAGGGAAAATAATTCTCGCTACCGGGATAGCCAATCGCGGCAGGGGAAGTCAGCGATTATTATTTTTTATGGACTTTTGTTTTGCATGTTGCGTACGCGTATTGTTGATTTATTATTTTTACTTGTCCGGACAATTTGAAGGGAAGTGAAACACTTGGAGAACAACAGAAAGATAAATATATATATGTACATGGTTTGTTCGTTGCATTTAACTTTTTTGATTTTTTACGAGTCCGTTGGCCGTGAGATCTGTTACTTGTTGCCATTTTTATCTATCACGATGCAACATTCGATCGTTTGGAGAAAGAATCTTGACGGACTTCCTCAAGAGGATTCTGTGTGATCGTTTTAACGAAGAATTGTAGCAACAAATTGACCGTAAATTTATTGTACGTCATCGAATACTGCCAAATATTCCTTGCTATACAAGCTGTTTTCGTGAATTAACCACCGTTCACGTCGTTTCTCCCATCGATCGAAAGTTGTATACAAAGTACAACGGAGGATCCTGTCGGACGACAGATTAGGTACACGACCGTCTCATGACATTTATCATTCCGTAGTCAACTTGGAAAGCTTCCAGTGCATCTAGCTAACGTGTACCAAAATTACTCACTCTATAAACCTGAGAACAACGTCGGATGTGTTCATCTTTTAGTTGTCTACTTTTTTCTTGCCCATTCTGTTTCTTGGAAAAAGAAAAGAAAATCATACGTACCGGACGTTCGTTAAGAATTTTCAGCGTGGAATCGACGGACTACTTGGAATCTATCGATGTTATGTTACACGTGTGCTCTTTTCTTGTAGTTAACATCACTAACGCACACGAAACGTAAAAGAGGCACATTCTGTTACGAAAAAAAAAAAAAAGAAAAGAAATGGTACGATCATACTTTGTTTGTTTGTTTTATCGACGTTACGTTTATTTTCATTTATGTGTTCCATACCCAGTTCCTCCCCCTCACCACCGATCAAGTAGCCTTAGCAATTTACGTTGAATTCTTATTTACAGGTGTTTTATTAAAATTTTTATTTACATCGTATACACAAAGAAACGTATCCGTAATCGCTTTAATTGATTGCGTAGTAAATCTCGTTTATACTTGAGTTTGCACGCATATTACAGTATTGCAGTAATGGATCATATAATGACATTAATAGTATCATTCATCTTTCAGTTTGAATTTTTGCTTGAACTTGCATGCAGTACACAGATGCGTGTTTTTAGTAGAAACGAAAAAGATAAAACAGTTGAAAAGAAAACATCCTCTATTGTAGCGCACAAAGTGTACACAATATTTCGACGAGAAATTCGGACTGTTTTAATTAACCGAAATCTTTCCACAGAGTATGCATCGGGGAACGCGAAATGGGACGGCGAGACCTGGAAAGAGAAGTCACGGAATCTCGGTTCAGGCTCCTCGGGGAATCAGTCGACCACGGAGACATCGAGCACGCGATCGAGCACAACGACATCGTCGAGCACGACCACGAGCTCATCCTCGACTTCCACCACCGCGTCGAACTCCGGGACGACCACGACCACCTCGACGAGAAGTTCATTCGCGTCCGCAGCAACCGGAAGGAACAATGCCGCCGCGGCGCAGAACAGCGGCGGCAGCAACAGCCCGTCACCGACGACGAACACGTCGACCAGCGGTGGAGGGCACCAGATCGGCACGATGTCTGCGCCACCTGGTCGCCAGGTGCCCAAAAGACGCATGAGACGACGCGCGACCTCGCACTCCCAGGATCCCGCCGAGCAGCTGACCGAGATGTCGGTCCGCGGGCTGAATCTCTTTCGTTACGCCTCGATCTCCGAGGGCGTGTACCAGTGTACCGAGTGCGCGAAACTCGACATCCAGAAGACGTTCAAGAACAAGTACAGCTTCCAGCGACACGCGTTCCTCTACCACGAGGGCCATCAGAGAAAAGTATTCCCGTGTCCGGTGTGCGGCAAAGAATTCTCGAGGCCGGACAAGATGAAGAATCACATGAAGACGGTCCACGACTGCTTCATGCCCAAGGACTGCGTGGTCCCGTTCGGATTTTTTCTCTCGCCTTAGCGGGCGGTGCGAGGGCGAGGTGGGGCGGCGATCGGTCCGGCACGAAGAACGTCCGCCGCCGCAGGGGATGACGACCAAGACGCGCGTACGGAAACTACTGCTGTGACCGGCGGCGTTCAGCGGAACGCTAGGGGCACAGCCCCGAAAACGATACGGCGGCACTCCTCGGCCCCCAGGATCCTGTCCGCGTTCAGGCGGGGCCGGGTTTGAGAGAGACAGCAGTCCGTTTTCGTTCCGTTGTTCCGGATTGATTGGCGGGGTTCTGTGATTGGTGTGTCCAGAGTTTGATCTACCTAGTTATACCCGAGTATTCAGTCGGTAGAGACGTAGCAAAGTGAGGGACTTAATTTCTTGGAGAAAAGTCTGTATAGTTGTTGGATACTGGGGTGCAGAAATGGTAGTATATCTGGAAAGAGATTTCATATATTTTTTGGGCACAGACATAATTGACTACATGATTCGTAATTGAGCGAATTAGTAATGATCTATTCAGTTCTGGGACTCAATATTATTTGTCCAAATTTTTTGGAAATTTAGTGCAATTGGTTATATTGCCGTTTTAAAGGCTAGCTTGAAATATTATCGATGCGTCATATACATTTTTGTTTTATTCCTGAATGAATTCCATAGTTTTCGACTATTTTTTAAATATATGATTCTATCTTTTAAATGACGCTTGCGGTGTTGGTTAAATGTATAAGAATATACATAATTGTAAAGACAAAACAATGTTGTTGGAAACCAGTAGATTTGTCAAATGTCACTTTAGTTTCTATAGTTTTATACCACATTTACATTGATTTTTATTAAGTATTTGTTTCGCTTATTCGTTCAAAAATGTAATGCTCATAGTTTATATTTCTATACAAAAATCGTGCATGAAATATCAGTTGTATAAACCATATAAAGTACTCGTATCTTATAGAAATTATTTTTCTAGCTCTAGAAACATTAGTAAAATGATTACTGAAAAAATGTTTCTCATGTTAGTAAGCCATTTAATACACGAAGTGCCTAATGATTAGACCACGGGTATTTTTTTAAATACTGTTTTAGACTATCAAGTATGAAAGAAAAATTTATTTCAGCAATGAAAAGATTTACAAAGTCAAAAATATAAAAAAAAAACTCTATTAATCTCTTATAATTTTTATGTGTATGAACACTTTTACATGCCATTCGATGTATAAAATCCTCAGTCCAATACTAATTAACAAAACCCGATACGCACCAAACTATTCACCTTTAGAGAGGACACAAGATTACATATGGTCGTCTCAATTACCATCCATTGTATCGAGCAGACACAAAGTGGTAGAGTGAAAACACGGGTATAATCCGGTCAGAGAGATAAGTATAGGCGTATACGAATACAAATTAGAGATCACATTCACAGAACGTGGCTAATTACTAGCAATGCGGTCAGGGGGATCCATGGAGACACAAAAACTCCCTTTACCGAAGTGTACCCTGCGTCGCGCGGTCCAATCGCATGGCCCATCTCACCCCCGCGATGAACGACCCCTTCCCTCTGTATAAAGCGTGATCCAATACCACGCGCGATCGGTATAGTCGTTCGAAGGAGCCCGACGAATTAGTTTCCCTTGAGAAGAAGTGCGAAGCAATACGTGGCCCCGCTAGTGGGTGGAGACCGAACACGATCGGATCGGGTGCAAACACTTGCTGAGCGGGACGTCGAGCGATCGCGGAAGAAAACGGAACAGGAAAAGTGTATCCCCCGCGCGTGTGTGCTCGATTAAAATGACCTTGTGTACATTAGTATTATATGATCCTGAAACTGTGCAATAGCGCGCAATGCTTGTAGCCGATCGACGACAAGGTTCAACAGTCTCCCTCACTCGCGCGAGTGTCTTATACGCGTTCACTATGTTCTACCTATGGAAACGTAAGTCGTATAAAACGTAATCGAGGTTCGACAATCAGAAAAACAAACAAAATATAATTTTAAACGTTCGACATATTATATAGTACGTGACCTTTTTTGAGGTTAGGATATAAGTGCGTGTGGTAACGCCCGCGGGCGTTCAAAGTGTGTACGCTTGGCAAAGTGTGACTATGAAACCCTTTAGCACACGAGGGCTGGTTTGCAGTCCAAGAATTTTTTTTTATCATATCGAACTTACGTTTACGTATGTAGAACGTACATGAAACCACTGTTTCACGACGTTGAAAAATTTTGTGTCGGGCCCCCGCGTAAGACACGGAAAAGAGTTTTTTTTTTTTTTTAAATGGTCGCAGTATTTTACGCGGGCGTAGTCTGCATTAATTCCAATTTATTCTCGTTATCTTTTGAAGGTGTCAAAATTTAACGATTTATCCGGCGAACAAAAGAGGAGAGAAATATTTCTTCGGAAACTAACGAGCTTTCTCGTGCCTTATTCGATCATTCGATTTTTAAGGGTTAAGAAAAAGAAATGTGTGTAACGAAGATAATGGCGTGCAAGAAAGTACAGAGTAACGTAAGCAATACGAGTAATGGGACTGTCGAAACGACGTTTATATACGTAGATTCTTGTTTCTGGATCGTGTACCACGACGATAGCTTTAAAAATTGTCTATGCTTTAATTTTTTCCCTTTTTTTTTTTTTTTTTTTTTTTTTTTTTTTTTTTTTTGAAGAAAAACCTTTATAACTTCAGCAGGTCGACATGTGAAACGTGGGTTACGAATATGGTCCCTCTTCTTCTCGGAGAATTTGCAATCATACACCCCCTACGGTCTTTTATGCGTTCGCGTATAACACTGTATAGTCAACGCTGAACGGAATTTCGAACACTTTTTTTTTTAAACGAAAACTTACACCAACGTACACTGACGTGGAAACTCTGCTTCCGCTAGGTGAAAAAGTGTAGTGGGGGAAGGGCCTTTTACTATTTGATAAATTTATTTCAAGCACTAAAATAAATGTTAAACCGAATGTTAATTTGGCATACATTTCAATATTTCCCGATAGCAAATGGTAGGAGGCCTTTACTCTTACGCCACTTTTTCCCCTAGAAGAAGTCGAGTTTTTACAATAAATGTATCGAATGTTTTTATTTCAAGCACTAAAATAAATGTTAAACCGAATGTTAATTTGGCATACATTTCAATATTTCTCGATAGCAAATGGTAGGAGGCCTTTACTCTTACGCCACTTTTTCCCCTAGAAGAAGTCGAGTTTTTACAATAAATGTATCGAATGTTTTTTTTTCGATTCCGTAGAAAAAGGGGGTGGACCCATAAACGCGCGAAGGTTCGTAGTTAGGATCCTTCCTCTTTTTTTTTTTTTAAATCTTTTGTATGCCTTCCAAACAGATTTGATTCCAATGGTGCGTAGCAAAGCATATTAGTAAAATGTTAAAAGGAAAAAAAAAGAAAATGTATATTTATCAGAGAGTTTATAAACGGTTCGCTACGAGCGCAGGAGACTCGTAGAGTTCAATTAGATAGTGCCTAAATAGAGAAAGCGAGAGAGAGAGAGGGAGAGAAAAAAAACACGATTTATACTGCATAGCAGCCTCGGTATATGTACAGGTTCTCTGGGAATGTGTATTATAGTTATTACCAATTGATTAATTATTACTATTATCATTATTAATTTACCATTACTCGCACTACTATTAATGCAGCAAACAATATTATTTTTATTATCACCGTTACGATTATATTGCTATTAATATTATATTGTTTGATAAGAATTATTAACTTTTAGCTATGGACAAGCACCGATAAAATTGGTTATTATTATTATTGCTAGGTATATAAGTTAAAATGCACAGGCAAGCACGACACGTTATAGAGAAAGTTATATATGTATACAAACATAGTATATATAATGGGACCCTAGTTAGTTTTGGGTCCTGGACCGTTTGTTTTTCTCTTTGATTTATTATTATTATTATTATTATTATTATATTATTATAATATTATACTTTTTTCGTTCATTCGTTCGGTTGAAAATGAAAAGAACGCACTATCCGAAAGAAATCCTTTATACTTGACACACACTGTTGCAAACGTTTCCTTTTTTCTCCCGGTGGTTGGGATACCGCATATATAGTAGACATCATATTAAAACCAGATCGATTCACGCGAATTTCGAATAAATTTGACTTTTTTTTTTGGAGGGGATAAAATCACATCGAAAATCGGAAATCGCGACTCGTTTGTAGAGAGATACACTGTGTTGTCAGAACCTCTAAGTGAATAACGTTTCGCCCGTTCCTCTTCGTTATTATTCCTCCGCGGCCGAATTTATTTGTTACATATATATCGTCACCACGAACAAACCGTACGCGATTTGTACAATAACTAGCAATAACGAGCGCACCGTCAAGTACTTTGAAGGTAAGAAAGAAAGGTGGTACGTGTAGTTTTTTTTTTTTTTTTATTTGGTTCAATCCCAATCTAATAACTTCCGTGAATTCTGATATTACACGGATAACACATCCCCGCCGCGACCTTCTTCCACGAATTTACTAGACTTAAATAGTGTTCACTGCGACGTACAGCCTCCGACAAACCGAGAATCCTTCCTCCCACTCTCCGTACTTCCATTCTTTAGTTTTTTTTCTTTCCTTTTTCTGCCCTTTATCCTCTCTATATCTGTTTTGCGACACCTTTCGAACGAATGCCGAACGGACAAAAGAAGGAGTATTTTGGTCTTCCGCATCGGTGTTTACAGACGCAAGTGAGAGAGCATCGTGTGAGAGCAATAACCAGAGCGTGGATGTATGGTGTGTGTGTAGAATGATGGTTGTCAGAAAGAGAGAGAGTTATTTAAAAGAATATATATAAAAGAAAAAGAGATATATTACGTGAGAGGGAACGTGCACCTGCGTGTGATTTCTTTTTCACGGGCTTTTCATCTCGCCTGAGATCGAGCCTCGTCTTCGCGGTACATACCGGCGAGGGAAGTACATATATGTATACATAATTAAGAGAAAGGAACACCAGAAATTGTATTTTTTCGCACAATCTTTTTTTCTACGTCCAATCGATCGTTAATATAGAAAACAAAAAAAAATACAGAAATGAAAAACTTTGATATTATTACGGGCACGCGAAATATATACGGTATACGTGTAGGTAGATGGTATCCGATTACTTTTGCGACTTGAATGTCGACGATACGTTCGATGAGAAAAATATATATTGTTACAATTGGGTCGACGATCTACTTGTTTGTGATCTGTACGCGCGTGATCGATTACGAAAGAAAACAAAAAATGGATATCGTGTATGCAATTCTGATGGCGAAGAAATTCTGTTTAGAAAGAAGAAAAAAACAGAGAATTGCGTGTACACGAGGCTCCGAGGAGTCTCGTTGAAAAAAATGAAAAGAAACGAAATTATTTCCTAATTCTGTGACATGTGCAAAAGCAATCGAAGACGGCCGTGTTACTCTTTTCTTCTATAATTTTTTTTCTCTTCACTTTCCATGCATTGTGACTACCTTACTTACGTTTTAGTTTTATACCACTATTGTAAGAGTTCTATTATTATTACACTATTACTATTGACATCGTCAAGAATAACGTTTATTATATTATTTTTAATTTTAACTGTAACATCGGGTAATTAGTTAGCGCGGTAAGGTTCGTCTTTTTTTTTTTTAGGCTTTAATGGAAGACCAACAAGCGATAGACGTTTTTTTAGGGGGACGAAACGTGAGATAGCCGGACAAGAGAGAGAGAGAGACACGAGAAAATGTTAATTATATTACTTATTCATATGGTACGGATAATTTTATTCGAGAGCGTTAAACGATACACACACACAGCTTGCGACGGAATCGCAGGCGCCTTCTTATGTTTTCCACTTTTTATTGGGACGACAGAGCGCGCGCAGACGGGGTGTATGCGCGTTGTGCATCTATCCCCGCGGTGTCTTCTGAGCGAATAGATATCTATTTATGTGCGATGGTTAAACAAGTGCAAATTTTATTCGTGTGTTGGCCGGCGAAGAGTAGCCGGGTGGCACTCGTGGATGAATTGTTCGAGGATGACGACGCGCCATTACGATTTCGATTACAGTAAATCCTCGATAAATTTGCAAAGGCTCCTTGGCAATGAACATTAAATATTGCATAAATTAATCGCCTTATACGGCTGAAACAAATATCATTGGCTCCAGAATTCCAAACTCTATCACCGGGCTAAACCTCATTAAAAAGTCAGCGATACAACTGGAAACTAATTCCTTATCAGTGCGAAGGTGCTTTCGAACACTCATCGAGGATTTACTGTATCCCCAGTTTTCCACTCGTCTGTCGTCGGAATGTCGAGAATCGCGATGATTTCAGCGAATAAAATTCGAAAGGAAACTCGGAAAAAACAAATGCGAAAATGCCTGCAAAGCGTCTCAAAACAAAAAACGGAAAAAACACCCTCTTTTCTTTTGTTTTTCTTTTGGAATCGCGCCCCACCTGCATTACTCTAACTTACGCAATTTTATTTATAAACATGCGAAGAATGCAAACGCGAGTCACTTTTTTTTTCCATAGAAAATTTTTACGGTCGTACCAACTAATTATTTTAGTAGCGGTATATATGTATATGCGTATCGAGTACTCGGCACTTTTATCAATGCAAGGAAACATCTCGAGAGACATCGGCACGCGGCACTCTTGTTTCGATAGAAGAAAAAAGCGGTACATAGAATATTTACTGACACAACTTCAAGCAGGACGTTCGATAGTGATTTTTTATGTTTTATTTTACGTTTTTTTTTGTTTTGCAATAGAAAAAAAAATGAAATCGCGGGGAACTGTTGAGAAACTATAAACGTTGCGAATACCGAAAATTATTATATATATGTATACATATATATAGAAATGATATATTATGTTGTATTGTATTATACATCCTGTTCGAGGGTGTGACACGTTTATATATATATAGAAAAAGTTATATACGTATAACGAATTAATAATAGAGAAAAAGGAAAATGCTGCACGTACATCGTGTCGGTCGCGTCGGCTGTACATTTGTTCGAATGTACGTATGTACCTATATATTGGTGTCTGGTGGCGATAAGAGCGATAAACGATTTGATAATTATTATTATTTTTATTTGTTTTTACCTTAATTATAGTTTCTTTGTAACTCTTTGTGATATACATTGCAATAGTCTATCCGACCGTTTATTTCTTGTATCGATTTAGCGCAACCTTCATTAAAGCAAAACAAAGAAACATGATATATGTATATATACATACGTATATATCATGTTATATATATACATATCTTTAAAGGTTCTATTTCACGACAGTCGCCCTATCTTTAACGAATTCACGGTGCTAACCGAAGTCAGCACTGGCCAAGTAGATGTATTATTTAAACCTGAATGCAAATAAAATTCCAATACATAGAACGTAAGGCGTTTAATCGAGGGAGCGATAATTAACGTAATTGTTTATGTTGAGGAGAAAAAAAGTTTTCACTTAAAGTAAGATGAAGTTCTTAAAGAAAACTTTTAATTTCTTTCAGCGGATGTAGCATTGTTAATCTGAAGCAATTTACGGAATAATGTTTTTGTTTATGGACCACTTGAAACAACACAGAAATAAAAAATCATACATTTTATTGCACACTTAAAACTCATAGTTTTTCGATGTGTGATATTTCTCGAATATGCCTATGAGGTACAATATACTTTGTGTTGCAACGATGTTTGCTGTTCAAGCCGTATTTCAGTCCGTATACGCCATAGTTCAGTACATATACAGGGTGTTAATTTTAACTCGAGCACCTAAATTATTTCCACTACTATTTAAAGTAAGAAAAAATTACCAAAAAGGGTGTACATGGTTTTAAGGCGAGCATCTGATGGTGATAAAATCTTCTGCATTCTTCAAACTGAAGCTGATTTCTTCGTCTTCAAGGTCATGGTGTGTAGGTTGTTGAACTCATCTTGACGCCTACTACCACATCGCGTTATAAAAAATACATGTTAATGTGCAAACAAATACGATAACCTTGAAAAAACCTTCACAGGATTTTTTTATCACCATCAGATGCACGCCTTAAAACCATGTACATCCTATTTAGTCATTTCTTCTTACTTTCAATAGTAGCGGAAATAATTTAGGTGCTCGACTTAAAATTAACACCTTGTATATCATACAATTACCATAGATTCCTTTTTCTGCAAAAAATTAACCTTTTAACTGGTCTACCTAATTGAAATACCTAAACCCTGTAACACCTTTAAATAAGACTTTCATTTAGAATAAGTTACAGACACCTAAGTCATGCAATATCTTCGAATTCTACTATACCTATACTACTTGATTCTGTGTTAATAAGATTTTCATCCAGAATAAGGTGATGATAAAATATGTACTTCAATTATCAATACTTTTTCAGTGACCAGAATATTTATAAACCTGCGTTCACGAATGATATACACTCTCGCCCGTAAGTATTAGGACACTCATCGAATATGCAATAAATGTTACAACGAAATCCTCGATGAGTGTTCGAAGGTTCCTCGGCACTGAACACTAAATATTTCATAAACTAATGGCCGTATGCGGCTCAAACAAATATCACTGAAAATTCCAAGCTCTATCATTATGTTAATCCTCATTAAAAAGTCAGTGTTGCACCTGGGGACCCTTCCTTGCCAGTGCCGAAAAGCCTTCGAACACTCATCGAGGAGTTACTGTATTTCGAAATTACTGAAAGTCTGAAATAATGGAAAACCGAAACAACGGCCTATGGCTACGAAGTAATGGCCCAATATATACAATTTTTACGAAAAATCATATTTTTTTCATACAAACCAGGTGTATCCTAATACAAGTAAACTGCGGATCATTCTACAAAATAACATTTTACGAACCAACTTACGAAAGACATGATGAAAGACAAAAATTTCTTTTCTCTCCGAGGTTCATCGGGTTACGAAAAAAAATTAAAAATACATTAAACCTGAATAGAAGTTCTGTCTTCTATTGCATTTCACATACCCATTTACGCTATGCACACATAAAAACCGCAGTCTACTTACGAGCGGTAGTGTATCACGTAACCCTAATCCATCCCTTCTGCCAATTTGACACATTTTTCCCCTAAGAAATGATGTCATTCAGTTATGTGTAGGTAACTTTATTTTCTTAAAAAGTAAATTTATTTAATTATTACATTAAATTTATACCACTCTGTCAATTTGGCAGCAAGGGACAAATTAAATTAGAAAAACGAGGGTCATTAACATCCAATCTCTCCAAACATCAATTCCATAAATCCATCCTATCAAAACTCCCAATAGTAAAAAAAAAAAAGAGAATCTTTAACGTCTTATTCAGTTCCATCTAAAATCTCTAAACGCTCAGACTAACAATCCCGTGTGCCTCTGTTCTCTTTCCATGTCTAACCCAGACCAGCTGCCCAGTCTGCCCACGGACATCACGTTCGAGATCTGCACGTCGTCGTCCTCGTCGTCACCACCGCCGCCGCCGTTGACGACGACGAAGTCGACGACGACGACGACCGGCGGCGAGGACAGCTTCAACGAGGACAACAGTGGCGGCGGCGGCACGTTTATCAAGTCCGAGAGGGTGGTCAGTGGGATGCACTTTCTGACCGATCGGGAGGAGGATCGGGGAGATCTGTTGCTGCCGAAGTCCGAGTCCGGGGATACCGAGCCGGAGGTCAGGAAACAGGTTGGTTGGTCCGCTGCTTTTGACACTGCTATGGCAGGCAGTGCACCAGCTGCGCCACGGATGAACACGAGGAAGAGGCGTAGCGTGCCGCGTCCTCGCGGAGATTGCACCAACAGAAACGGACTGACCACGAGGAGACCGCTTCAAAGGCCCGTCCCGCCGCGGATTTGATTCGGGTGCTTTCCATTCGGGTCACGGGGGATCCTCGTGCAGCCGAGGGCATTAGGAAATTTGTTAGACACAAGAGATATTATTAGCGAGGATCGAGATTGGACCCGGTTTATTGTTTCGTCGACCGGGACTTGTTGCACACATTGACGAGAGGGGGGATGATAACTTTGACAGGATTTTCTATGATGGATCAGCTTGATACGGAGTTGGTTACTGTGGGTAAATAAAAATGGGAATATTGGATCGATTAGTGGTGTGAAAAATCGGTTTGAGTATTCGAGTCTAGTGATGGGACTGATACGATACATCTGTGGCAGGTATGGATAAACGCTGCATGTCTGAATTTCCAAAAATTTCAGTTTTTGCGTTAATTGAGCTGTAGAATATAGGATTTAGGCATTCATCAGCGAAACAAAGGCGTGGAAACGAACTTTATATGTACAAACAAATAATGCAATTTAATTGAAGTCTAATATACAATTCCTACGCGTTAGGCAAAACAACGTAAGTCCGTGAATTTTGAAGAATATACTTATTTTCTATAAAATATAACGAACAAAATTATATTCTATATTTTTATTTTACCAGAAATTAACACACTATTACATACAATTCGTACGTACATATGTAACTTGTATGTTACAAAAAACAACGCTATACACAGAAGAATTATGCAAAATGAAAGAAATATACATTTATATCGTAAACAAAAACACAGAAACGTTGCTAATAAGAATTGGTGTTCGGAACTTTAAACGGCAATATCTTGAAAGCGAAAACATGTGACTTGTGGCGTTTCCCTGATAACCACAAACGTATTGATGATAATCAAACAATTCGATACCTAAGTACTCATTGGGAAGCCTCGAAATGCATCGAAATCTTGGATACTCGGTATTAACTTTCCATACTGATGCATTTTGGAGCGATATTAATTCGTACCGATTCTACAGTAACCAAGTAAACATCGATACCATGAACAATAGAATCGAATTTTCTCAAGTATTTTGTGGATATAGGATTTTCTACTTAGTTGCTATAGAAGAGGTATCAATATTTTTGTGAATTATGAAATGTGCTTTCATAGAAGTATCAAATCGGTACTGATATTTTCGTAGATGTATCAAAAGGGTATCGATACTTTCATATAAATATCGAAGGGGCATCGATTCTACTCGATAGCTACGGCTTTGAAACTATTCTGTACCTGATCAAAATTTACGGCCAGCTGATAACATCAATACGGTATCACTCCCAACACTATGCAATTCTTATTGTTTTTAGTTTTATGGAATTGTAATTATTTTTCATTGACGATGATTAGCAGAAATGTTCTAAGGTATATTCACACTCATAGACTCAAGCTTATCGTAATCTCTCCGTAAAAGTTAGAAAATTATTTTATTCAGTTATCGAATGCAATGTTTTGTTACGTTAATCGGTACAACAAATAGTTTCTAGTCAGTTAATACAATAGTCAAGTTTTGTTAAGTTATTTAACCGATATTTATTGAATTAATTCACCAAGACCTGATAAGAATCGGAGTGACGAGTGAAAACGAGGAAATAAACGGTGCTCCGATCAGACAACCGCATCGTTTTATTAAATTAATTAACACGAATAGCAAAATGTTGTGGACACGTGGAACGACATTATCCGAATCGCTGTTTTAAAATATCTGTCGTAGTTACACTTTTCAGAGAACACAAATCATTCCGTTATTAAGACTGGTAGCCGACAAGATAAGCAAGTGTTATCGATGAAGATAAGCGTCGTCATCCAGTACGGTGTGTCGTAGTGAAAATGATTATACTAAACATTGGTATTAGCAAAAAAAAAAAAGAAAATATAAATGATTAGGTGTATTGTATCCAATTAATTAGTTCAAATATAGCTACAATCGTGAAATTCAAATTCATCAATTGTAACAATTTTATTTATGACGGCTAATTTATTGAAAGAGAAAAACAAAACGAAAAGAGAAAAAAAATGAAAGCGTGTGATGTGTTCATAAAGTTTTCCGTTATAGGCGTGTTGTATCACAATATGAATGGACTGTTTGTGACACTTGTTTAATTAGCGTATAAGGAAACGTGTGCTTCGCGGATAACGAACTATTTTCCGTTGTTCTCTTGTTTGTGAATGCGTCTCTGACCATCCCATGTAATTGGATCCTGTGTCAAGGACCTATACATAGATCGGTTTTTATAGCGGCCAGTGCAGGAGTATTTTATTGCCAATAAACTGGAAACTTGTAACGTTGAAGATTTCTTCTGTCACTTTGTGTACCAGCCGAATGGAAAGCACCCGGGGACAAACGTGTTTCAGTTGGGAAAGTAATCCTTCCGTCCTTACGTTCATTTCTTATCTGGTTTGCCTGACGTATCTCCCTTATTTAAAAAGAAAAAAATACCGCCGTTTACTTTTCACGCCGCGGAAGGGTTCGTTGAACCGACCTCTCTCCCGCGCGTACACAGAACAGTTGGAAGCGGATCTGATTTTTACGGTGGCTTATCATGGATGACACTTTTTCTGTCGGTGCACATCCTCCGTTTACTTCACTGCGCCGCCGGGCTGAAAATAGAGACCAGAACTTTTGTTTTTATATAAGTTTAAAGTTGAGACACGTGCTGAAAAAGTTGCTGACAATGTAAATTTAGCATTTAGAGAGAATTATGTAAATCTTAGGACAGTTCCACGTTGATTCGTGAAACTCCAAGCTGGTGATTTTTCATTAGAAAATGAATCGAGAGAAAGGCCAGAAAATGCTATCGACGATAATGTTTTAAGAGATACGTATTATTGAAAATAATCCACTGCAAGCAAGAAAAGAAATAGCGTTGTGGAAACCACACGTGGTTGAAGTTTCGTTTGCAAAAACGCTATTTCATGTGTACCAACCTAATAGAAGCCCATAATTTGCCATGAGGCACGTGAAATGTGTGGTATCCCATCATACAAAAGTCAGCATTCCATGAATGAAATTGAATGAATTTGAGACGTTTAAGTATTAAGTCTTCCATGTTCATTTATAAAATTTATGTGAGATGATAAAGCACAAAATATAATTGGAACAAAAAAGAAAGTACCTAAAACAGTGTTATTAAAAATAATGAAATCTTACATTACACGGTGTGAGAGATGCTTAATACAATAACACAAAACAATGTTCAGTTGGTGGGAAATAAATGACGGATCACAATTTGTATCTTTGGAGAGGGTTACGAGGGTTTATATTATTTTTTCGACATATGAAAATATCTCATGTCCCAAAAAAATCTACTTTCTTGGAACTATAACGGAAGCAAATGCAAAAGCAAATTGCAGTAATCGGTATTTAATTTAAGAATGAACTGACTCGTGAACTAACGATAACGTAAACGTGAATGATTAAGAATTTGGGTGTCGAAGAAATGTATTACGTCGTAGGTTTAACAAAAATTAAATTCAATAGTTTCCTATTGCAGTTTTGCAAAAAATTTTGTTTTCGTGTTCTACAAAAAACAGGAAACAAAGTGTCTAATAGTTGCGTCATATTTTCTAGGCTACCCTAATATTAACATATTTATTTCCCGCCAACATAATAACAATAATTTCGGGGCCGAAATTAAAAAGCCGTATGCATTTAAAGTTACATTTGGTGGACAAGATATAGCTTCATAGACATTGTTATTTTACAGTAAATCTAACAGGAATCGAATCTGATCTCTATTATTTCTATATAATAGTTATATTATTCGAGCTCTATTTATTGTCTCAAATTTTTCTAAACAGGATCGTTGTGAAATATAAGAAAGGTTTCCATGATCGTTTGAAGAAAGCTTATAGGTCTGGTATACCTTCTCCATTAATTGTATCCGGGGTTCCACAAACCCCACTCAACTTCCGGAACATTGGCCGAGAGGGTTCAATAATGGGGAAGGGGGTTGGAACAGTGTGACACGCCCGCGAGAACCGTGGTGGGTGCGAGTAACGATGATTGAACGAATGAGAGAGGGAGAGAAAAAACCAAATAAACGTTGTTTTACAAGCTGCTGGAATACCTCATTCAAAACGACGGTTCCGTAGTCTGCAAGTGGTGCGGCGAGGTCCTACCGTCTCGAACCCGTTGGTATAGGCACAAGTACAAGCTCCACGTCTCCACCCAGGTCACCCAGCCGGCGCCGCTCTTCAAGTGCCACAGCTGTAATGCATACTTCAAGTCCCGTAAGGGTTACATCGGTCACCTGAGCTCCCGGCATTCCGACAACGAGAACGACGAGAACAGAGAGGAGCCGGCCAACAAGAAGGCCCGGAAGACCTCCGATGTAAGTCTCTCACCCTCTATCATGTGATCGCTTCGCCGCTCGTACCCTTGCTCCCTCCTTCCATTGCTGTTGAACGATTCGAGTCAGCGAAAGCCTTTCTTCTATTCAAAGATCACCCACGAGACACAATCGAACAGTATTCATAATTGGAATAAACGGAAATTGTAGAATACAGTAAATCGTCGATGAGTGTTCGAAGGTTCCTCGGCAGTGAACATAAATATTTCAGAAACTAATCGCCATATGCGGTTGAAATAAATATCATTGGCTTCAGAATTCCAAGCTCTATCACTAAAAAGAACATTAACCTCATTAAAAAGTTAGCGTTACACCTGAGGACCTCTCTTTGTCAGATATCTCTTTTTCAAGATATAGTTAACAACGGCGAGTAAAGATCGTAGAAGCAAGGCATTCGCCCCTCGCGGAACCATTCCCCCTGTTCGCTTCCATGCGCATCGCTTGGTTCGATCGTTTCGGTGAACTACGGGGCGAGGAAAAAAAAAATGTGAAACGTGCCCCCACAGATCGGGAAAGGGCCGGACTGGGAGCAGCAAAGGGAGAAAGAAGAGAAGCTGGTGGCGGACATTATCGATCGCGTGAAGAGGGAGTGCGAGGCTCAGGGTGAGACGGTGACGAGACGGGGCTACTCCAGGCGATCCACCGTGATGAACAGCTAAGGGCGAGCCCTCGTTAAAGGAACAAAGGGGAATCTGGTGCCATATCATCGTCGTACGATGCTCTCCTCGTGATTCGGCTCGAAGAACGTGCAGGTGCGCGCGCATGGATCGATCCCTGCCGACATTCGATCGCCATATTCGTCTCTATCGGCCGATTACGGGCGGCTCTACGATAAACTAATTAAGGGAATCTCGAGTTTAGAGAGAGAAAGAGAGTCTAAGATCAAACTAGGATTAACTTAACCACATGCAAAATCGGCGGCTCCGTGCTCAATCCGTTCGTTACCGGACATGGTTAGAATCTCGGTCTCTATCACGACGATCGAAGCCCACCCATTCCCCAACCCCCTCTTCCATCGAATCCTGTTGGATATTCTATATATCGGCGTATAATGAATGCGCGTGATCGTCGCGTTAACAATCCGCGTTTACGAGGTTATTACACTCGGTCGGTTCTCCCCCCGTAACGATGTCGGCAGGGTGATCTTCGGTCGCCGGATACGAGGCTCTACAAAACTGTCTAGTCATAACGCACGCGCGGCTACGTATATTTTTTTCGCATCCTAATCGGCCGCGCGGTGGTACATCGGTATGTAAGTATCCGTACGGTATTTGCCCGATAATACGATACACGCGCTCTTTGCGAGTTATAAAACACTTGGGGCCTGGGAGAGCCGCGTCCGCAGCTCCTAACCTACAAACGGGCCGTAGAACACGTTTCGTTCTTCCTCGTCGAAATTCACGATCGTTGGTCGATATCGTTCCTTTGATCTCGGTAGGTTCCGTGGATCTCGATCGCATCAACACGCGAACGGAAGTGCGAATGTTGTTGAATGAAATGTGGTATTTTTGTCGCCGTCACACACGGCGACGGAAATAGTTGCCATTTCGTACACGTCCTAGATTGGCAATGTCGATTGAAAACTGAACTAGCATTGTAATATGGGTTTTATTATGAAACGAACGTCTTAAGAAGAAACTTTTAGATTTGTTCCATTCTTTTTTAATCTTTTCGGCAGAATTGTACGCTTATCCTGAGCTTTTCATGGACCTACGCTACCGTAAAGTTGGGAGTCGTGCTCGATACATTTCAAAATGGCGGAAAGGTATCTTAACGTACCAGTTCAGATTGATCCAACTGTAATCAGGTAAAGCAAAAGATGATTTTAAGGCACATTATACGTAGGTCATGGATATGGGAAATGTTCTTATAGTTGGTGCCGGATACTTAAGGTTTATACAAGCAAAGAATTCGTTCATGTAACAATAAAGTTTTCATTAGGAAGGAACGAATGCTAGGGCCAACTTGGTAAATGGAAATGAAAAAACAGATTACACAAGCATGTGTCGAAATACGAGAAATTGTAAGTGAAGGAAACAATACATATGGGAGATACTAGATCAGGAAATGATGGCTGGTCGTAGAGAATTGGTTTGTATTAGGCCGCCTACATAAAATTCAGAGTAAACTCAAAAAGTGTAACATCTAATTATAAAGAATTGAAAAATTATTTATCGATAAAAATGTGACTTCGGGATATTAACGTACAAACTGAAGAAAAGTGAAAATACTTTGTCTGTTATTTTCGAATTCGAATGAAATACTGAATAATATTGCGTCGAGCACGACTTACTCATACGCCACTCGTTCATTTCATAATTTATTAGTCGATTTTGATAGCCTGATACTGGAGGTACTAGAGGTACTATCTCTATGATTCGGAAGAAAAAGGTTCATCAGTGGACCGAACAGTTTAGAGTGAGATTTCCTATCAGCATCAGACGTAAGCATCTACGACTATTAGACGAAGTGCGACGTATATGCATTTCTAATTTTATTTAATCGTGTTTCAGACATTACGTATAACGATATCTCCTCTTAAAGTAACCGTTAAGACATTAACGCACATGTTTGGTGGTGATACGAAGTGCCACCTTTAGAAAACAACAGGAATTGATTCCTGTTCTAAGTGGCCAATCAGCTGTTCGTCTTTCACTTACGCTCAACATTATCAGGAATATTCTATAACGATCCTCTATTAAGAAATTCAAAACACAATTCGCCTATGGGACGGAAAATCGGCCCTGCCATTCTAGGATAGACACGAACGCAGGCCATTAATGTGAATAGAGTTGCGATTCAAGCCTGAAAGGCTCTCTCAAAGAGAGAAACAGAGAATCCAGTGCCAAATATGTATCTTCCCAAGCCTAGGACATCTCGTTGCGTACAAAAACACGCGGAACGTTCACTATGATACGCGATGAGAGCCATCGTTTGCTCAACAGTGCAACCGTACTACTTCCTTCGATTATGTTCGTTCACTTTTTTGTTATGCTCGACCGTGTGCAGATGTCGCGAGTTTTACCGTGGCTCGTGCACACGAGTGCGGCGTCATCTCTTCGTGGAAACGCGTCATTGAGCAGTTCAGCGCGCGTGAACGTCACGGCGCACGTGAAATCCATAGAAATTATGTCGCTATACGGGTATTGATGCATTTAAATCGCGTGGGTGACGTTCACGGATCTGCCACGACGGTTTTAAATTAAAACCGTATGGACACTTTGGACAGTAAAAGTAACAGTGAGATTTTTCTTTTTATTTAAACCCACCATTACAACTACCTATCGTTCTGAATTATCTGTTATTCTACGTTAATAACTTTAAAAGACTGGGAATTATATTTATTTTTCTGAATGTTTCTCAATAACATGGTAGAAACGAGGAATAAAGGGAAACATATGTTGCATAAGTATTCATTGTAGATAGTTGTATTTCCGAGGGCTGACATCATTCGTTGTTATTCTTCTCTTAACGAGAGAAATTTCTATGATGTCCCGGGCAATTTATTTCGCATCGTGCACTAGATACACGGGAAACGGTACTCGCGCATCTGTCACGCTCGAGCAAGTTAGTTGGGCACGAACTAGTGTCGCTAGAGAGACGGTAGATAGATCGATAAAATAGATAAAAAAAAATATATATCTACGCGTACACGAGGTACGAATAAATAAAATATAATGCACGTTGTCGGTAATCGACGCGGCGGCAGCATTGTATGTATTAATCTTGCTGAATATTCCAAGAAAGTCTGTCCATTTTTTCGAATGTCTCGAAAGTATTTTAATCTCTACTTTATTGTTGCGTGCCGTGGCGGCGCAACGGCAGAAGAACGAACTGCGTTTATCTCGGATTTTAAATTTACGATTACAATTTAGAGTAGACCGTGCGCGGACGCTGTTATACAGATACGTCGCGCACGTAAACTGACTAGTCGTTAAGTTCGGTGCTAATCAAGAAAGGTATGAACTCCGTATGCCTTTTTATTACGAATACGATTGCATCAATTATTTTTCGGAACGAGAGAGAAAGAAAGAGAGAGAATAGAGGTTTAACCCTTTGGAGGAATTGCCAACGATGGGTCATGTGGTGATAAAACATGAGAACTGCGAGTCAAGTTCGTTAAAACGTGATATTTTGTGTCTAATATTTTAATTAAAAATACAGTCAAACGAGATGTACACGTGACCATAGCAGGCTTGGTATTATTGGGATAATATATTTTAAAAAATTAGCATTAAAATCAATTAGTATGTTATTTAATTAACTCTTATTTTTTAATATCTGTACGATATGTTTTCTGGTTCCGGATTAAACGATTTTTTGTAAAAAAAGTTTGCAAATCATTTTACTCTTAATTCCGTGCAACGAAGGATTAGATGGAACCTAACATATTTTCTGGACGCTATTAATGAAAGAATTCAGCAAAAGCTGTCCTTTTACCAGAAATTAATGTGTACTTCTAGTCGTAGCCAGGGAGGGCAGGGATGGCCTTGTCCCCTCCTCCTCCTGGACGGAAAAAAGTGGTTTTTGCACTATTCTACAAAAAAATAATTGAATTTTGCCCCCCACGTTCACCCCTAGAAGACAAAAATTGGATCTTGGCCCCCTTCCTGGGTGCACTAAAAACTTCTAATTATCATTTCCTATATTACCCATTGGTATGGAAACTAGTTGCCATAATTTTTTACATATCAAGATATGTACTTGAATAGAATATTTAAATCTGAAAATTGTCTGTCGCTTTGTAAGGTAGAAATGTAATTACTTTCAGATATTTTTTATGCAGTTGCTTTTTCTCAGATATTGTTAAGCTAGAAATAATAAAATAATTTCAATGATTTATTATTCCAAGTATTACTCTTTAGTTGGCAGTTTAAACAATGTACCAAGCCTGGTTCATAACTATATAACGCGAAAACGTCACGCGCGTTACCTAATCTCCAAAGGGCTAATCAAAAGAGGACAACTCTCTTCTGACATTGTGCGACGGATTTTACACGTAATTATCTACAGACGCGTACTTGCAGGCGGACCTCTGCGCGTATACTATATTTCTAATCCTACGTGCGCAGAATAAGAAGACTGCGGATATGCATACGAGTTCACGGTTTTAGAGGTGAAGGTTCAAGAATGGACGTCAAAAGGAAACTTACTATCTTCGCTAACCCCTTAACTGCGGATGGTCTGTAAGAACATGCAACAATGTGTAAAATACAGATCTTTTATCTTTCACTCTATGTTTAAGCGAGATACATCGTGAATAAACGAGATAAAATTTCAGGTCACACAACGTCCCCTGTTTCGTATCGATGTGTCAACGATTAACTTCAAAAAAAATTTTCATTTGCTTCACTGTATCATCACGATAGTTTTACCAACAGATTAGAGAAAATTTCCCGTTGAAAATACGTTCTAACATGATATTCCTTGAATAATTTTTTGCAATACAAAATGTACGATTCTTTTACACCAAACCACGTTACATAATTCAAAATGGTCCGAATGACGTCGAGTTCGATCTAATTTTCATCGGGAGAACCTGAATAACGTTATTGGTGACGTTTTGTAAGAAAATATAATGAAAGTTTAAATTTTTATTAGCTTGTGACTCGATCGGAAATTACATGGTTGTGCGATCCTCGATCGCGAGCAACTCTGAAGGGTAAGCAAGGTTAGTCTACCATCATAGACGGTTTCCGCAGTTAAACGGTTAATGCCTTTATTAAACTGAAAGGACCCTGAAGGAATGATGAAATTTTAATGTCACACTCCTTTCACTGTTGTTTCTCAAACCACGTTCATGCGTAACACGAACGCGTACGATCCGTGGTCTTATAATCAGATTTACATGCACGCATTTCGACGCGATTGTATACGAGCAGAGGGTGTTAATCGACTAGTGTCGGGCGAAAATAAAAAAAACAAGAGCTACACTTTTCGTCTTCGTTCCTCTCCCATTTGGGACGAAGAATACGGGTTCTTCCACATTCTCGAACGCGCATTAACATGTTCCTTTAATGAAATCGTGGTGTAATTCGACCGTGCGAACGTTTTATCATACCATCCCGACGATAACATGTTAATGTTTTATTAATTCAAGTTTCCAGCTACATTGATCGATCATTCGTGTAACGCTCGAAGCGTGCAAAATTTAACACGAACCTTCAGGTATACTCGAGAGGGAAAGACTAAAGTTGCAACGTTTTAAGAAGAAAAACAGAACTACGCGCAGGTCGCGCCACGGTTTGAAAAAAACAAAACACATTTTCTGTAATCCGAACTCGCCCCATTAGAAGTAAGAAGCGCAACGGAAACGATCACCTGTGACAAAAAATGGGAGTCGCTGATGTCTTTATTGGCGAGCTCTGTGACGCCTCTTCGCGTGCTTTGTGCCAATCGCGAGCATTCAAGCCCGCCCAAAGATCTTTACACGGACCTTACACGATGAATAATATGGTTAATATTAACAAACACTGTCGATAGTACTGATTATGTGTGGTCAGTAGCGATAGACTGACGTTTATGAATGACGCTGATCGATATATCGTGATCCTCGGACAACGATATCGCTGAATGGATGGTATATTGACAGCAATTGTATATTGTTGAACAATGTACATAAAAAACAAAACAAAGAAAAGTCAACGGTTTTTTTTTTGGTAAACAGTGCATGTTCAAATTTTACGCTAAAGGATCAACACATGAGATCAATGTGTCATAAACACTAACAATGAGCCGAAATATTGACAGTAATAATGATATCGCAAGGTCGCGACGATTATGTTGAGTGCTGTCAGTATCGTTGGATCAGTTTTACCGTATCGTATCCTAAGTCTATGGAGTTATCGATCAGTGTCATCGACCATGTGTAGGGTTCGCTTCAGATCTTTCCGCTTGTGTAGCTGTTCCTTTCCAACATGAATAATAATAGGTCCAAAGAACGTATACGATCCGTTTGGAAAATTAATCAGCGGTAATAAAATTCACGAAAGGGTGATGTTTAATTCGTACACGCGATAACGTTGCGTAAACCTGTTTCGTGTACTATACGATCCTGCTTATACACTCGTCTGCCTTCACAGTAACAGGTACGAACCTTCCATTATCAATCGTCTTCCTCGTGATTATGTTACTTTGTACACGATACATGGCGGCGTATAAATGTATAATGACATACGGACTGCGGATTTTTATGCAAATATGGAATTTTTATAGACTAATTCAGAGAAAATTGAAAAGAACAGTAGTTAACAGTTTATGTACTCTGTTCAGACTTCATCGGATTCCAGGTAATAAAGGAACCTCGTAAAACTATATGGATTTTCTTACTACATTGAGTTGTCGACAATCATATACGCTATATATGCATAAAATCTACAGTCTAATGATATACAGGGTGTTTCCAAAAGAGTGTTAAAAAACTTGCAAACGCACCCTATACCTGAAACTAACAAATAAGATCCACTATTTTATTTCCACAATAACAGCTGATTTAGATTCTCGATCATCGGATATAAATCCTCTCGACATTTATTTGTCGGGTTATTTGAAGTCAGTTATACACTCGGTGGCCAGTGGACACTGTCGAGGATTTACGAATGCACGGTCAGAATACATACCACAGGATCAGAAATACGCTGAATATTCTGAGACCTATAAGACGATCAGTAATATAAATTTTGAGAGGTTATGTGATGACTTGTACAAGTTAAAATTAAATCGGCTATATTCCCGAAATCTATTAGTTTCGAAGTATAGAATACGCCCTCATAGTTTACAATGCCGTTTTGGATTGCACTCTGTATAGAAACTTTTAAGTATTTGTATAAATAATTTGTAGTTTGTTCCCCTTTAGCATCGCGTAAGTTAACAACTAAAGTGACCTTTTTCTTCCGGAAACGAGACAAAAAGAAGATGGTGTGTAACATCAATCAGTGAGGTCGTTTTAGATGCGATAGATAGGGACGCGAAATTTATTCGATCATTCCGTCAGACCGCGTTTTCATTGATAACAGGCTTCCTTCGTTTTATGACCGACAGAACGATCGTTAATACCGACGGAAATTACAAGATGTGTGAGGGGGGGGGGCAGGAAGACGAAAGAGTGGCTCGCCCTGACGTATTTCAATCTTCCGTATTGAATCTTAAGTGTTACTAATCGTAAGATCGTAAGGCTGACCTCCTATGTCTGATGTGACGATTCAAGTTGAGAGTACTCGAGGAGATAAATTATTTATTTGTTTACGATAACGAGGCCGTTTTGCGAATTGTAATTTCGGGCGTCTCGCGCTAACTCAAAAGACTATCATTGTATATACAGTGACAGCGACCGCCTGAAGGTGCGATCCCGTCTAAAAGTGCACGAACTCCACAAGTACGTATGTACTATACGATTAAAACAAAATAAAAAAAAAGAGAGAGTGGAAAATAATTACAACATACCATAGTACTTACGATCACGCTAATCACCCAAGCGATTAGCAAACGTTACAACTAACGAAATCGAGCGTATTGTGCATTATATGTCGGGAAAGAAATAAAATCAAAATGAACCGATTAACTCCGTCTCCTGTCATTTACACCTGATCAATTTCTACAGATATGTCAAACTATAGACACTGTATATATTATCATTTAACGTATATCTTAAATGCTGTGCGTGTACCGCCGTGTATATTGTTGGACCAGATCTCGTATTTAATGAAACTGAAAAATATTATTACGATTATTGTGTATCCAATAAAATACTACTCCCAATCAAAAAAACTTGAGAGATGAAACAGTATTTCTCTAAATTGTTCTATTCCGCATAGAAAATGTTAAAATAATATTTACAAATTATTTAGAAAAACTGAAAAACTTAAAAAATAATAAATAACGATAAATATGTCGGTTCGGCATAAGAGTTTATTACAAGGAAATATTTATCGGTAACGGTTAAATAATTTAGAAATAAATATTTCACCGCTGTTTAGCAGTAACGATTTTGCCATAAAGGGAGATAATGATGTAGGTGATCCTAAACTTTTAGTCTATAGTCTATTTACGAACATCTAACAAATCTCTAAAAATTTCGAATATTCCCGCGCTTTCGAAGATATCAGTTCCTAGGAACCATCGTAGATGGCGGAACAATGCGCCTCGACAAGAACCGAGTTAGTCTACTGGTTAAACGCATTCGCCATGTTCTGTTTACAGTGTTACTCTGGTCGCGTCCATCATCGTTTCTAAGTAGTTACGCTCGTTTCCACGCTTCAGTTCAAAATTATTATGTCCTGCACGACTCGCTGGTGATGTTCGTAGACGTGGTGGGTTCGCGTATTTACGAGGGCTACTTCGCGTGACGATTGATCTCGGAAGTGGCGACCGGGCGGCGGTGAGAAACGATGATTCTGTGTTACACGACGGTCTACGGGCTTCTGGTGGCGGCCGTGCTCGGTGTCAATGCTCTTCACGCGAAAGATCCGTTGGCACATCACGGTAGATGCGAGCCGATCACGATTAATCTGTGCATGAACATACCGTACAACGAGACGATTATGCCGAATTTAATGAATCACCAGAAACAAGAAGACGCCGGGCAAGAGGTGCATCAGTTCGCGCCCCTGATCAAGATGAAGTGCAGTCCCGACCTTCGTTTCTTTCTATGCACCGTTTACGCGCCCGTGTGCACTATTATTGACAAAGCCATACCCCCGTGCAAATCGTTGTGCGAGAGTGCCCGTGCGGGCTGCGAACGATTAATGAACAGCTTCGGTTTCGCTTGGCCGGATAATCTCGATTGTTCGAAACTGCCCGAAAACGGCGGCCCCGAGCTTTGCGTTGGTCACAACGAAACCACAAGCCCGCAACCCTCGGCACCGGTCTATCCGCCGCCACGGAGGCCCGTGGCTGAATTTCAACCGTCCTGGACAGGACGACCGAAATCGTTCGGCAACGGGTTCATGGTCGGCGCGAGGGACTTCGGGTTCGTCTGCCCCCTGCAATTCAAGGTTCCAAAGGAACTCGGTTACTCGTTGAAGGTCGGCAATAAAGAGGAGCGTCACTGCGGGGCACCTTGCGACGGAATGTTCTTTAACCCGAGTCAACGACAATTTTCGAGAGTCTGGGTCGGCAGCTGGGCATCCGTTTGCGCGGCTTCTTGCTTTTTCACCTTCTTGACATTTCTCATTGACACCGATAGGTTCAGGTAAGAAAAACGCCCGAATACCATTCAGTTTGATGTGATGACTGATCAACTCGACTTCCTTCAAAATTCTCGGCTTCAATGTCTTTGCACATTTATTTTAAAGTATTATATATGTTGTCAATACAGTTGAGTCCGTTTATAGCGACATTCAAGGGACAGAGAAATTACGTCGCTGTAAACGAATGTTGTTATAAGCAGATTGAAAATATATATAAAGTAATGTGTATGGGAACTTAGAGAGCAAGTCTGATGCAATATGCGGTCTGTTGTTATAAGCTGTGTCGTAATAACCGGACTACACTGTATATGTGAAATGTCAACAGTTTTCAGTAATTTTTAATGCATACACTTGACCAGTTTAACTTCTCATAGGCTCGTATGTAATAAGCAGACTGTGGTAAGTCTTGCAAACATAAATTTTTACAGATTAAATCATAGAAACTAGAATCAAACAAATTTATTTACTACATTATGGGTTCTATCAAGTTCTAACAATCAGTAAAATAAAAACTTACTATTAAATTAAACTATTAAACTGCTTATATAGATCTTTTGACAATCATACATGGCATAAGTATATTCTTTAAGTCTAATGTGAAATAGATATTCATGTCAGACTTTAATTATGAATGATTGTCTTCTTAATAATCAGTCTTAACTTTTCCTATGTGAAGAAAACAATATAAACTTTTAAAAAAAATAGTGTGTGTTTAAAATCATTATTTAGAGCAATAAAAAGTCATTGAAGAAATTGTTCGAGAAATTGTATAATCTAAAATTTGCTCCTATGGGTGATTTAGCAAGACTAGTTACATAAAATATAATTTCTTATACATAATCATGTTTAGTAATATTACTCTGAATGTTACTAAGAATAATATTTTATCTTACAGGTATCCAGAAAGACCAATTATCTTCTTGTCAGTTTGTTACCTCATGGTAGCACTGGCATATGTAATTGGTTGGGCAGCTGGTAATTCAATTGCATGTAGAGAACCTTTTCCACCCCCTTTAGAAAGAATTGAAATGAAATCAACTATAACACAGGGTACTAAACACGAACTGTGTACAGTACTGTTTATGGTGCTTTACTTCTTTGGGATGGCATCCAGTATATGGTGGGTCATCCTAACATTGACATGGTTCCTAGCTGCTGGTTTGAAATGGGGCCACGAAGCAATAGAAGCTAATTCACAATACTTTCATTTGGCTGCTTGGGCAGCACCAGCAATAAAAACAGTTACCATTCTTGCATTGGGAAATGTAGAAGGTTAGTTATCAAATGATTTAATTATACAATATTGTAACGGCTATTATATTATGTAATTAACGTTATTGTATTGATCCTTGTAGGAGATATATTATCTGGTGTCTGTTATGTGGGACTTTCGAACATGGAAGCTTTACGTGGGTTTGTCCTGGCTCCTTTGTGTGTCTACCTTATCCTTGGAACTGCCTTCCTATTAGCTGGTTTTGTTTCACTATTCCGTATTCGTACGGTGATGAAACATGACGGTACAAAGACTGATAAATTAGAGAAATTAATGATTCGTATCGGCATATTTTCTGTACTATACATAGTTCCTGCGCTAATTGTCATTGCTTGCTTGTTTTATGAGCAAGCGTACTACGATCAATGGATGTTGACGTGGAATATGGAGATGTGTTCCAGACCAGAATCACAGACATTGTATTCTCTGCCATGCCCTGTTGGCGAACGTACTCGCGACGTTGGGAGACGAGCAGACTTCGAAGTTTTCATGATAAAATATTTAATGGCTATGATTGTTGGTATAACAAGTAGCTTCTGGGTATGGTCGAGTAAAACGCTAACCAGTTGGCGACAGTTTTTTAATCATATCAAAGGACGTCGCGCAGAAGCGTATGTTTAAAGACTCATAATTCCATACAACAGAACTTGTAAAGTTTTGTCTGTTTTAATCATCACATCACATCATTGATATTTCATTTGGATGATAATCCACCAAACTAATTCATAACAATATATATTTCATCGCAGCTGATAATATTTAAAGAATTTATATACTAAGTTTGACTTACTGAAAACAGATCTGACTAGAAAGATACTCATTTTTATATTCTTTTTTTTTTTCTTTTATCAGTGCATGAGAAACAACAATGAGAAATACAGAAATATGGCGTGCCAAAATACTTTTTTTATTATTGAGACGGTTGTATGTTTGTTTAAGCTATTTGCGAACTTTTCCATTGTATTTTTATGAAAATTGTGTAAGGACTGTATAAAATGTTAAAACTAATCGTCGATTAGTTTACAAGTATTATTAGACAAAGTCTGCATTATATTTTAAGTAATGTACTCTTCTCTTATATGTTAACAGAATTCACGACTAATGTCATATTGTTTACATTAAGTTGAAAATGCTCAAACTGTTTGCAGACAAAGTGTTCAAAGATATAAGTGTACTTTACTACTATGCACAAAACGAATGGCTGCTACTGAAGTCCATTGTCTTTTCAAACCTTCCATTTTGGGTTTGATCGATAGATCATGAACAATTACGCTTACTAATCTCGCGAACGATTTTTATATTTCTATAAAACCGCTTTTAGAGATATTTTATATTTGAAGACTCAGACAAACTTCTGAAAGTTTTTCTTATCTAATCGTGAAAAATCTTTTGATATTTTTCCATTTGTAATGAAAGTCTATAAATCTTATCTTCATAAGCTATAATCGAGGCAAGCAAATCTTCAAAAAAATGTAAAATTGACTTGTAAGACATATGCTATAGTTTAACTAAATTGTATATACTTATATGCATTAACTTTAGTATGTATTATAATATATTTTTAAAAAGTTATGTACATATATATGTCCGCCAAGGAATTGGCATTTTTGTAAGTTTCCTATGCGTAATCAAACTAATTCTAGCGACTCGTTAAATCAGATACACACGGGCCATTTGAATCGAGGCTACTCGGTAACGACTCGCAAACCGGGTGCAATTATTGTTCCAATATCAATGATCAATTCGTCCATTGAAACTGTCGAGCTTTTGTGTCTGTTATGTATTTACGGTGGTCATTAAAAAAATGAAGAATTTTGTAATTAAACTAACCGTAAATACATCATAGTAGGTGCGCAACTATCATACATGAAATATACGTGACGTTGTGTAAAGTAACTATACTATTATATTCTTTATATACTAAACCGGAATATATACATACAAACAGTTCATACATGGTATATTTATTTAATCGAATTATGTTCGTTTACAAATACATAATTATAAGATGAATGTACAGTATAAACTGTGTAACAGAATATTAGTAACAATTGTAACGAATAGTTCAACTGGATTCCGTTGCTTTTATCTTCGGCGATTTAAGAATCCCCATTTTTCGTAATTTTTTTACGAGAAACGGTGTTACCGCTAATGTGATCGATATTCGTATGGGCGCCAAAAGCTTGTGAACGGTGTATGCCAACAAGAAGCTCGACGAATTACTTAATACTTTTTCCAGTTGCTCATTTCCCTCGACAAAATATTTCGCAAGAGGTGTTAAGTCTAGTCCACTGAAAAATCAGTAAACACTTTTAAGTATATTTAATTATAAAATAATATTTAAATTCCGACAATAATTTCCCAAATTTTTGTTTAAAATTATAAAACAGTCAAACATAACTTTCTGTAAATATTTAATACATTCAGAATGGCAAGATTCATGGTATGATTTTTCATTTAAAAAGTCGATTTATATAATCTACGAAAAAATTAAAAGTGAAAATAATAATTATTAACAAGAAAAATTAGTTACAAAAGCAGCTGTCGTTCTGAATCTGTCGAACTTTCTGTTAAGTATAAAGTGATATAAAATAACAATCAGATCCATCGCAAAACTAACCTAATTACAGCTGTATAACATGCACCAAGAGATATCAACGAGATGCCTATGTGAAACACAATAACAGTCCTTCCGTAATCCTTTATCAAAATTTTAAATTTTTCTTTCTTTGATAAATCTACAGCTTGTTTTTCTTTACCGGTACCTTCCTTTGTACTTTGCAGCTGTTCAGACGTACGTGTTGAAAACCTCATATTGAAGATATAATTTGGTTGATACAATTTTCGCAAAAATGTGGTCGTTGCGGTGACCTGACTTGCGGGACCTGAGCGACAAATTACAATTTCCACACTGTTTACATTATCGGTAGTAAAGCGAATTTATCTTCAGCATGCTCTGATAAGTTTTGGAATATCATACATTATCAAAAATCAACCAACTTCATTGTTCTCATTAATAAAAACACCTAACGATGATAAGTAAACACGAATCATACAATACTGAAAATCTAAAGTCAGGATATATTTTTCAAAGAAACAAATACAAATACGAATTCTTAATTCGTTCATTCCCCAACCACGAGTAAAAATAACTATTTTCCTTGATAATTCTGTTCATACGTATCATATTGACGACTACAGAAAATATCCAGTGGCTTTATATTTCTACCAATTTTTACTAACCACTTGTGTCCGCCTGTAATTTTGGTAAACAAACACTTCGGTAATGAGACTTCTGCATGTCCTCGGCAATATATTTTCCATCTCTGGCCCACTGGCCACCTGGCATGTTTAAATGTGTAGACTTTCCACTGGAGGAAAACGGTTTTGGTACGTTACTTTGCATCGTGCCATTTAAACTAACCGCGCCAAAGCAATCGTACGAGTCTACGTGTGAGTCGCTACAGGTTGTTGGGATGCTAGCATGTTCGGCGGTTGTTTTTGTTAATTGTTCCGAGAAGAACGTTCTGCAATCAGCATTCTTGCCATAGATTAGTACCGGTGCGGCGATATCTCGTGATCTTTCAGGAGTAAAGCGACCAGTCTCATTTGCAAATATTTCAGAAACGTTCGAGGGAAGCGGTAGAGTGGGTGGATCGGGATAACGCCGAACACTCGTCACGTGAAGAGCTTTTATACGACTCTGATGCACCGCTGCGTACCGCGTACACTGTGTTTCCCCCAAAGAGGCATTTGCTGAAAAAAGGAAAATGTCTTCTATTCAAATAACTGTTCAAATTCATTTTATGAACTGAATTGAAACAGTAGACGATTGTGTATATATTCTTGTTAGAAATACAACAATACTTAAAGGCTTCCCTTAAAAAGTTAGAATTGTTGACTGTGTATCCGCCTATACGTAAATGCAATAAGATACAGGATTAACTTTTTTAATCATACTCTGTGTAAGAAGTTAAACTGCCCCCTCCAATAATCTCCATTTGAGGAAATTATAGAATCAACTGATAAATCAAATCGTGGGACTTGTGACTTGTTAAAATGGATTCCGAAATTTGTTTACATAATGCCCACACTAGTCACGAATAAGTATTTTTTTTTTATGCAATGAAATGTACGGCACGTTACTATCGCGTTTAATAATATTGCGCATTGATAAAAGAATACTGTCGCTTCAATGACTTACGTGTAAAGAATACTCCGTGCGTCATAATGTTAGAAAATATACTTTTACTGTTCTGTAGTAAGAACTATATAATGTTTAAAGGATTATTGATGTGCATTTATGTTTTTTTAATGTATATAATATAAAAATTGTTTCATCAATATAAGAAAAAAGTGACAAAGATTCAATCTGTCACTAAACAAAACGTGATTTGACATTTTGTCGAAAAAGGATTTAATGCAGTCGACATAGTTTTGTAAATAGACGATAATATTCATAGACATTAATATCTACGTTCAAATACGTTATATACTAATAAATCGGAAGAGCTACTGATACGTGATAACGCCATCGTAGAAATTTCACAGCACTTATTAACCAGTTGTTTCGCTGTCACATGACATCCGCACACTGCTTAAGCTGCTTTATATAGACACGTATAAAATTCAAGGAATGGACAAAATTATACAATGTATGTTTTGAAAACAAACCGGATATTCAAAATAACCCCTTACCACATTCACTGTGAGACCACCTAACCTAGGAACACTCTGACATTTATATCTTTCACAAGCTTGTGTAACATGTATGTCTCGATATTCACACACACGTCAACAAAATTGTCGTAGTTAAAGAAATGTCATTCAAACCGGTTAATTATGCGTGTAGGAAACAAATCTGCAAGTTTAAACGTGATATAAACGTTGCACAGCGTTACTGCTGACTCAACTAGAGATGGCGTGCAAAATCACTAACGGTGATTTATCACAGTGATCGCCGAATCACGATCACGGTCATGATTTAACTTCATTCGCGACCGTGATTGCAATTTTTTTATCTTGTGTGAATTGCTCACTGCGATCGTAAGTCCTTGATGTTTAAACAGAAAAACGTATTTAATATGATTTTACGATGAATTACATTACTATTCGTGCTTGTAAAAATCAGTAGAAGAAATAAGAAATTCTAAAAGAATGATTTGCTAGGTAACATGTAAATTATAATTTATAATCATTAATTTATTTATTCTTCATTGTTTCTAATTATTCCTTCACTGTATACGATATAACCACCGACTAGGTATAGAATACACCTATCATCCAATGTTTTTTTCTGTCCCACGTTCATATGTTATTATTTTAGTGTCAGTACCCGACGTTATCGATAAAGCATGAATTCTGTGTATTATTAACACAAATGAAGTGTTATATATTTCATTTATATTGCGTGTACCTATAATCTATAATCTATATGATTTGACGGGAATAAAAATATCCGATACTTCATTTAAGGTCCACCGGGGGTCTCTGGCGCCACCGGTGGGGGTTCTATGACCCCACGATCTCGCCACACACGGTCGGTGGCGCCACCTGCGGGGTTCTGTGACCCCACCTTCCCACCACACGGGGTTTCTGGCGCCACCTGTGGGGGTTCTGTGAGCCCTCGTTCTCCCTATACGGTGTCTTGGCGTTTCCACCGGGGGGTTCTATGACCCCACGTTATCACCACACGAGGTCTCTGGCGCCTCCGCCGGGGGTTCTATGACCCCACGATCCAACACACAGGGTCTCTTATGTATAAGTTGTCATTCATGTAATTTTTAGAATATTGATATTAATTTATGAACCGAGATTATGGTTTCACAAGTTCCGAGGTTGTTGATACAAAAATAAATTAAAATATCATTTTTATTAAGAATATTAATTACGTGCTTATTATTGTACATATTTATACAGATTTCTTTAAGAAGAAATGAAGTAATAGGAATTAGGAGGAAGGTGGTAATGGGATTAATGAACAACCCATATATATGATTTGACTGTTTGTTATTGAAAATATCGTACGAAAATATACAATTTACAATAGTATTTCTATAAATTTAACAACAATTGCCTTAAGTACTACTTACATACATGATTTTACAATATATTTATAATAAAATTTGTATAGATTCAATAAAAGTGCCTTTAGATATTTATTTTACTTAAATCCTACTTATCTATATGATTTTACAATATACTTATAATGATATTTATATAAATTCAGAAAAAGTAGGCTTAGATATTATTCAGGCTTATAAAATATTGTAACTTATATGCCGCAAATAATTCCCTCCTCTATAATGTGTAAATCTTCCGTACGATCTTCAAAGCTTCATAATGGTTTTATAAAAGTTGTCGCCGAAATTTTCATTCCTGGGAACGTACGATAGATGTGCATAATGAATTGCAGATTCCTCTACCCGTTTCAATCTGTTGTAATTAAATACATGTGAGTGACAAGAGAGTGAACAATAGTGAAATGACCACTGCTATGTGCCACACGTTGCACGCCGTTGCGCGCCACTTAGTTGGTGGCCGCTGAGTTACCCATCACTGCTGCGAATGCTGCAATAAACGAGCTTTTACTGTAAGTATATTTTTATACCCCATCTGTGTTAAAACTATCACTGTGGTGTTCTTTATGCATCTATTTTATCCTGTAAAACCTCATAATTTTTGCGTTTTATGTTTTTTGAACAAATGTTCATTTCATGGATACAGAAATGTTATAAGAATAGTATTTCGTAGATAAACGAAAAATTGTACAATGAAAGTGTGGGAGGAAATAATGAAAAGACAAGATGTACGATTAAAAACTTTATTTTATTTTGGTTTGCTTCGTAATTGGGAAAAATATATATAATGTTGCGTGTACCTGTAGGAACTTTGGACTACAGATTATGTCTGGGACAGTTGTCGTTTGGGTAACATGCTAATTTAAAAAAAAAAGTGAACTTAGATCGTGTCAATACGTTACCAACGAACAAGTGAAAGAGATGAAGAGAAAAAAGAAATAGCTTAAACCTACGCTAAGGCTAACGTCTCGTTAATTCTAGATTTACACGTTGGTAACAAATATGGTATAAAATATGGTATTCGGTATGTATTTTACGTGCCTCTCTTGAACGAACGACAAAAATACATGAAGGCTGAGTGTCGTGTATATCTCGCACTGTGGTCGTCAAATGCGACGTCGTTTTACCATAATGTATACAGGTTTTTCTTAGAAAAAAGAAACAAAAGAGAGAAACAAAAGGGCGGGATTATAAAAACACTCGAGTAATCTAGAACTTAGATTTTTTCAGAATATAAAACTGACCATGAAACGAATCTTACGCATGGCAGACGTTTAACCAACTTTTCTTTTTTTTTGTTTAATCTGACGCTGAACAACCCTGCTAACATGTATAAAATTCTGTACAGCATCGCGAGATATAGCTTTGTGCTTTCTTCCTTGTTACAAGCGTACACATCAACTATTTCTGTTCTGCTTTCTATCTTCCTTCTTTTCTTCGTTTGGAAAAAGTTGGAAACTCTCGACTAGCGGACATTGTACGTCAAACATAAATTAAAGTCTAAAAAAAAAAAACGTATCCAATATATGAAGTTCTTACGAATGTTTATATTCGACATGAATTAATGTATAATTAGAAATCCCTCGAACAATTCGTCCTTTGGAAGATACACGTTAAATGCTTAATTTCAGCAGGGTTAATACTCTTCTCTCTTTCTCTCTCTCTCTCTCTAACTCTCTCTCCCTCTCTGTCTATTGGTCTCAGTGAAAACTCTCGATCGTTCTGTACTGATAATGAATAAAAGCAACGCGCGGTGATTACAGTGAAGCAACGACCGTATTAACTCAAACTCTGATCTTCTGCACATCGAACTGCCCGAAGTTAGACGCGTTTCGCGCTTTTTACTTGGCGATCCACCCATTAACGAAATAAAACTTATTTTGGCATTCCTTTCATCTTATCGTACTCAATACGTGTTATATTCTTGGCCATTCATTTTTGACTAGATTTATTCTCAGTTGAATAGGTATTTCACTCGATATCGCGAGTACGAGGTTTTGGATCGATGTACGTTCCCCTTTTTAGCCAGAACAAACTTCTGAGTGTTCGTCCCAAGCAGCCACCTGAAAGGAATAATTAATAACGTTCGGATAATCCATATAAATCATTTGTCATATTCAACGAACGCTGATTTTATAAATAATCGATCTAAATGTGTAGTCCAATAAGTGTAATACATTTGGAATTTTTGGTCTTACCTGGCATTCGCGGCTGCAATACCATTGATTTCCGCAGCCAGCGCACACGAACTGTGCTGCACGTTCGTGACACCCTTGGCATCGTGGAGGACTGTCCCTGTCTTCTCTGGCATCCCTTCCACCTGAAGAGATGCGTGTCTCTCTATCTTCGATTACTGCTGATTCTTCTTCGACATCGTCCTGCAAATCAAGATTCCAATATATGAGCATGGAGGTTATTAACATTAATAACAAATTAACATTAACAAAAACTAAAGCGAGTCCCTTACCACGTGGATTAAGTTATTCGAGTGAGATTGTACCGGGGTATTGACGACCGGTGTTATGGTTATTTCAGTTCGAGCCTGGAAGCAGAAACAGTAAAATTTTATAACACTGAAACCTACACCGATTTCTATTACAAATAATCATGGTTTTTGTGGAATTGTAAGGTACCTTGGAAGAAGACAGAAGGTCGCTGATAGAAACCGGATTAGAGCCTTGATATGCCTGCAAAAGGTGCTGGGTTGCCGCACTTTGCTGTGGCATAGACGCAGCCGTTGGTGCATTCCTTTCTCTTTCAGGTGCGGTGAGTAATCTAGCTAAAGTAGGTGAAAAAGTTGTAGGTCTCGGAGATTGTGATTTCGTGAGAATTCCGTGGAGCAACGAACAGCTCTGTTGAGGAGGTGTGTTTTGAGGTGCTGGAGATGGTGCGACGGGGTGAAGCGTCACATCCGGATAGTTTTGAGGCGTTTTCACAGGTTCACCTATAAACAGTTGAAGATTTTCAAAATTAACAAGTAGAAAATTTCGAATATCATTAATACAACTTTTTCTTCTTAATTAAATAATTAATACAACTAATTGGGTGTAACTCTGTTGAGGGACAGGAAGAATCACTGGGTCAGTGTGTACAAGAAAGAAAGAGAAAGATTTACATACCTTGTTGTTGACTCAGTTTAGCAAATTGTACTAGCACATCTTTAAAGCTCATGGAATTATTAGGATCGCTCATATTCGGATTGCTTTTACAAGAGTCCGTACTAGATGGCCTTGAGTCAACATTGTGTCCCGTTTCTACCATGGCTCCGCCAGCTCCAAGGCCGACGTTCACCGAATTTCTCATTCTACGACCCCTATAACATAAGAACATCCAACATTGTAAGATTCTTTTTAAAATTACCGTGAATGTCTGTTTCCATACTTCAAAAATTATACATTTGCAGTTGAGAAGATGACGATATAAGTGTGAACATACTTATAGAAGCAGGTAACAAAGAAGTATGGCTATGATGTGCATCATATTCATTGTAATTGGTTTTACCATGTTTCAACTCCTTGTACAAAAGACGAGTAAGGAGTCGAAAGTAACTTATAAAACATTTCCAAAAAAAAAAAAAACTCCCCGATAAATAAGAATAGTAGAGAACGGTGGAGGAAATAATGTACTTATTTAATCATTAATACAAAGATGGTTGTTTGCAGGTTCAGTGTATACTAGAAGAAAGTCAACCAACTTGTGAACCCACCAAACAAGTACGAATAAATTACCTTCGCGGTACTACTTCAGGGTGCCTCAGTCTGTAATCAGCGATGATAGACCTAACATCGACGATGGCACCTTGTCGGCCTTCGCCGATCTGCCTATTTTCCGGGCTGAGCGCCTCAGCCTGTTTCCGGCCATTTTCACCTCCCTGTTTTGGGGGCGTCGATTGTCGCTGGGACGCCTGTTTCCCAGTTTTCTCTTTCTTGAACGCCGGCGAGTCCCGGGAGCTTTCCTCCGGCAGTTCCTCTTTCGAGTCGAAGTTCAGTTTCTCTTTGGATACGGGTGTCGTGTTCCCGCTGCTTTCCCATTCCGGGCCGAGCGATAAGCTAGCCGGCGGCAACGTGTCCGCTAACTGTCCATTGCCCTCCATGAATCCCATCACCTGCCGCCTTCTTTCGATTCTCAGGTACGCCTCCTCCTTGAGCTTCCTCATGCTCAGGATTTCATTCCATTCCATTTCTTTGGCACGTGCTAACTCGTCCAGGGCCTACGTGACAACAGACAAGAGAGCGTATTTTGATTAGGCTTCGAATAACTAAATTATACGGTATCAAAAAGAGGAATTGATACATTGGTGACTTTTACTATTAAAATTGACCATATACCGGTTTTATTAAGACATTAATGGGTAGATGTCTTCAGCCGTTGATATTGGGTCGAATGGAAAGTTTTTATTTTTATAGCAGAACGGAAAGTTTTTATATTTATAGATTTATTTAATCAATTACATAATTTCCATTAGACTCTATTACTTTTTTCCACTGTTCCACGAGTTTTCGAATACAATTACCAAAAAATTTGTGTGGCACAGAGACATGTCATCAAAGACGCACGAACATTCCGTTCAACCTAATGTATAAATTACATCGCATGTACGTGTTTTAAGCGGTACAGCGCGGTAGCCATCTTTGTTTCGGTCATGAGAATTAAAACGGTCCACAGAAGCTACGATTTATCGTACAACTAATTGTACAAAATACGTTGCTTCGACAGTTTGAAAGACGGTTGTACGGCATGCTAGAAATCTGTCGGTGTGTCTTTGCAACTTGTCGTATAACTTGAAGTACGATAAATCGCATCGTCTGTAGCTCGTTTACGAGAAGAAGAATCGCCAACAACTGGGGTAGCTTAGCTGGCTAAACTACTTGCTCGCAACTCATCTGCCGATTTCTCTTTTTTATTCTATTTAATACACTCAATGGGCAATTTCCAATAATTGTTCACTTCAACTAGTGCCTATACAGGGTGGGCCGGAAATCATAGTACAACCGGGCACGTGGTGATTCTACCTTAAAAAAGAATAAAATATTTGGGTATAACATTTTCTCATCTGGGACTCCGTTTTCGAGAAACTCGACTTTAATACTTGTTCAACTTGTAAACGAATTAGTACAATTTGCTTGTCATGTATTAGTAGTAAAAATAAATAAAAAAATGAGTAATTAGTAAAAACACTTTGTATTGTTTTATCCACACAATCATCAATGTTTGTAAATACTATCCCGGACAGAGGGACAGCAGTAGTGGCATACACGAGAAGCAAATTGTACTAAATCGTTTACAAGTTGAACAAACTATAAAGTCGATTTTCTCGAAAACGAAGCCCCGGATGAGAAAATGTTATACCAAAATATTTTCTTCTTTTTTAACGTAGAATCACCGCCAGCCCGGTTGTACTACGATTTCTTGTCCACCCTGTATAGGAACGTTCATGGTCGAGAAAACGGACGGTCGATAGGTTAGGAACCAGCAACGAGTGACATTTACCTGCACTTCAGCGCGAAGTTGATCAGCCCTCGCGGCAAGCTCTTCCGCGGTAACTTTCTCACAGCCGACCAGAGAGGTTATGTACTGTTCCCTTTGCTCGATACAGAACTTCTTCGGCGTGGAATTCCCATTCGCGGATAACTGTCCATCGGTGGACTTTCGTTTCCTGCTGTTTCCCTCCGTCTCGGATTTCGCGCAACGCGACGACGTCACGGGCTTCTGCTGTGACGCGTCCCCCGCGGATAGGGTGGTGGTCTTAGTCGTAGTTGTCGTCGTTTCGGACTCCGAGTCGCAGAGGGGCTCTTTCTTTATGGATGTCGACCGTAGGCATTCGACGGACGTGGGCGCAGCAGCAGCGGTCTCCTCTGGCAGGGCAGCCCCGTTCTGCTGGCTCTGGGGGACTTTCGGCGAGGCCCTCGATGAATCGTCGTCCCTCGTCTTATCGGCCGAGTCCACCTTCTTCCCGTTCCCAGCGACGCCTTCCATCGCGTGCATCTTGTTCAAACTGCAAACAGACAAATATTTCTGTAACGAACAACCGTTTTCCTGTGCCCTTTGGAGTGGTGTTTTATGCTGCCAGTCGTGATCTACTCCGTGCTACTCATGTTGCAACGCACTCACACGCTTTCCATGAGAGTTTCATTGATTCGTCGGTTTAACGGTCGATTGGATTAACGAGAAAACGGTAACAGGGTGATTGAAAGGTATTTAGAGTAAGATACCGATAACGGGAACGACGCATTTGCGATCGTATGATGATTCAGGGAGAAGTTCAATGAACAGAGGAAAGAATTCCGTACAGTTGGATGGAAAATGTTTATGAACTTTCTGTAAACAGCGACTGGATGTGTTGAATAGAAGCATAATCTGTACTCGCTTCGATTGCAGGAGTATTCCCATCCTACAGTTGTATTGTTCTGGACTGAAAACACTGTTGCAGAGATGAGTGGAGAGGATTCAGCAATGGTTCCACTGACTGGGGACTTGTTTCTGCTTTAGAATTAACAGAACTAATTTAAACTTGCAATGAACAATCTTGGTATCTGTAAACGAAACTTTTATTCGATTTTATATGATGTTTGGCATTATGTATATTGCGTTTCACGGATTTGCATTCGTTATAAATGCATAAGGTCTACAGTTTGGTTCAAGTGTTTGGAGGATTCCTTTCATCTTTATTCGCTAGTAATTATTCTTCTTCGAACACAATTATTTAAAAAAGAAATCAATGTTTCATCTTAAACAATATCTGAAATGATGTTTATTAAAATCTAATTTCGGCCATATACCCTGCAATGCAATTAATAATCAAGGTAATGACATCTATCATGTATATCTAACAATATTATAATCGTTTAGACTTTTGTACCTTTATTATTATATTTATTTTTTTAATCGATACACACACTCTTATTTATACATTTCGTAACAACCAAGAAGTCACTTTCATCAACTCAATAAACAGTCTTCGTTCACAGTTTTAGTGGACAAGCTTTTCAACGATCAGCATTCCAACGATCGATCCGTGAAATTTGCGAAATTGAAAAGCATGATAATGCATATCGATTAATGAAAAAATGAATCATAAAGCATTCTTTCTCGACGATGACATTGATATAACGACACGTTTGCTTTGACCTTGCATAGAAAATAAGTATCACTAAGAGCTGGAGGACGTTCAATGGAAATCTACCCAATAGCGTACACCTGGTATTATCATTTTCATGACGTTCTGTACACAAATGTTTACATCGCTGGTAGTACGAACTGACAGTGTAATTACACCGATTGCATAAAGGACGATTCTCGATTCAGTAGAACGAAGTCACCTAGCTTTTGTAATACAAGGCAATTTCAATTTCCTTACATAGACGCCGACGGATTTAAATCCTTGTATGTATCAATACAATAGAATAATATTTAACAAAACTATTCAGAATAATACGATACAAAGTAACTCGTATTAAATATTAAAGACTTTGATACACAGTTCAGAAGATTATTTCGAATTAAAAATATATGAAAATGAAATGCTATTTTTAGTAGTGTAATAGTTACCATGGTTGAAACTTCACGTGAATAATATATATCTGTCTAAAGTGATCAATAAAAACACTATTAAACAGAATCTCTGCACCAGAATGCAATATTAACAACCAAACCACCATGAAAGTCTGTGCGGTCACTTGGAATGCACATAATGCACCCGAGACCGCGTCTTTTTACTCCACGTTTCTCGTATCCTTCAATTTTTCAACAGAATAGAATTCCACGGCAGAATTGAAAACGAAACGTGGTGAATATAGCATGATAGGTATATGTCATATCACAGATCTCCTTATTTAATCATTTCGTTACACGTAACGAAAAGGGTGAATCTAGAAAAGGGTGGATCTAGCAGAGGGTGATCCACACCTTAGTTCTCAAGATGTTAATATTTCCTGGTATTTCGTTAATTTTCAACTTGGAATGGTTTCGTCGATCGATATTCGGTCACAGACAAAAGCGTTACATACTCCCGCGACGTGGATGGGCCAGGGTGGTCCTCGCAACGCGTGCGTGGCTGTTCAGCGTTTACCCTCAGCAAGAGGCGCACGCCAACACACACGCACCTAGAATAGAAGGTGACCACACACCGGGGTTAACGTTTTCGCGCCTCGCGTGCGATATGCCACCTACTTTCCCAAGAAGAAAGACCACGTTCCTCAGGACCGTAACCTTCCACCCGTTAGATAAGTTTCGGACCATTTAGGCGATTCCTTTTGTCTAAATTTAAATCCCGATGCCTTTATCGTGTTTCTCTCGTGTCTGTTCCTCTTTCATTGTAACCTTTAAAGGCCTCACGAAGTGACCTCCCCGACATTCGGGTCATCGATTTATCGCGAATTTTCTGCGGGTTGCCTAACCGTACATTCTTATAGATCGAGAAGAAAAATTTAAGTTTTATGAAACGAACAGGAATCGTCAGTGACAATATGTTTCCAAGATTATATTCTTATAGAGTATTTACAATCATTAATACTTAATTGATTAACAAAATTTAATTTAACTATAATGATATGATCTATTCGATGTGATCTATTGTTAGAAAGTTATAGTATTCTGTCTATAATTTGTTCGGCTTATTCTATTTTTTGAAACTAATGATAATTAATTATAAAAGAAAAATAATTAAATATTGTCTCAGTGCATTAGTTTTAAATAGTATCTTTGGCTTATTGATCGCCATAAGAGTGACTGGAGAACCAAAATGGGGTCGGTAGGAGACTATTGGTGAACTGAACTCAATATTTTCCTTGAAGTACTTATTTCTTTACATTAGATGAAATTGTTTTGCTTTCTCTTTTTCTCAGAAACCTGCAAGGATACTTATCTCAAGGCACTCAGGATCATCCAATTTAAAAAAAAAGAAGAATACAATTGCCACTTGCAAAGTACTGCTACTCGTAAAAATAGGCTACTGTGTTACAATTTCTGGAACGAAATAATAAAATTCATTGTTGTTTACATACAACTACAGGCATTTCAATACACTGGCTTATAAAGGTCGACTTCCTCGATAATATTGACACGAAGTGAAGTGTCCATTACTGAACTGTGTTTTCATTTCACTCACTTTTCCTTTAATTTAGTGAGACAGTTTACAGACAAAATAAGACCAAAGGATAGAAATAATAGGAAACGATTTTACCCTTACGATTTTTTTTATCTGAATACAGAAATTTTATGCTACAGATGAATTATGCATTAGATGTTAGGATATAAAATTATAGATAAGAAATCTAGTACTTCCTACAAACGGAACAATGTTTTGCACAGCTTTCTTCAACTCTTATAATAAATAAAAATCCTTAAGGAAATATCATTATTACATTATCGATGTTTATATACCCATAGCATTTCCTAACCTCCAAATCATACCAGATTCAAAATTTTAATAAACTGTAATGTCATTTGTGTTACTATCACTACATTAAAACTTTCAATAAAGTAAAATAAATATCTGTCCAATTCTCATAAACACCCGTACTCTAGTCATCATACACGTAGTAAACAAAATTGAAACACTAATATTTCCAAGTATACAATAGTAGTAATCACAGTTTTCAAAAATCATTCCTGGTCAACCGGTCTATAACTCATAATCGCTTGCCAAAATGTCTACGCCCTCACAATCAATCGTATAAAAAAACACACAATTCAAAAGGTGCTTTTAACAAGCGGAACATCGATACCAAATGTCAAAGTGAAGAAAAGCAGTTTGCGCGAACTAAATACATATCACTTTCGAAGGAAACGCTTATCCCCTGCTTACCAACGGAAACATCATCATCCGCGGCAATTGCTTTCCGGTGAACGGTCTCCGATTATTAAAAATATCAGCATTAAAGTCGAGAGATTCGCTCGTCCCGAAATGAAATGTAAACACAGAGCGTAAATGGACGAAGGCGTTTGGTAAATCGTCCGAAATTCGCGGCTACGCCTGTGTGCCGGCTCGTTTGCCACACGAGAGACGCGTCGTCGAGCGCGCTCGTCCGCGAGAGGGGAACGAGTCCGAACGAAGGGAGGGGTGGAGGGGCGAGAGGGGGAATGACGCGCGCGCGACGGAGGGGAAACGGCGTTAGAAAGAGAGGAGGGCCATGGGGAGGGGAGGGAGGAGAACAAAGTTCGTTGCACTCGCCCGCGTTCACTGCACTTTATAGACGCGGATATAGGTTTCGCGGTACCAATTCTGAAAAGCCCTCGGAACTCTTCATCGTGCCTTCGACAGACTTTCGGGCTGGGGATAAAAGGATCACCGTAAAACGTTAATTTCTTTGTAATCGGCAGATGTAATCCTCCCCGTGGGAAAGTTTGTTCGCGGCACGTACATCTCGCCATCTTTGTTAGGCGGATGGAATTAAAGTAACGAGATGGAGACACTGACCGTCGAGGGTGATATTCTGAGCTGTGTATTTGTCGCTTCCATGCTTTTATAATGTATAGACTATTAATGGGGTTCTTTTTTGAACACGCATTGGCCATTTTTAATTTCTTATAGTTTGAAAGAAGTAAATCGATATAAAATGAAAGCTGCTTGAATACACTTGTTTCCGGTAATGTCTCTTAGATCTCAAGTTTCCATTCAAACGGCTGGAAATATAAAAACGTAAGCCACTCAGTTAACTGGTGTTTCCGTGTGTATCTTTTACAATAGGATGTAACAGGTGGCAATTGATTTTAAGTTTTTAGTATTCATGGATGAGCAGATGATGGAATAATGTTTATTTCAACAGCACGTCGTAGAAAAGGACTGCAAAATTTCTACAATTGTTTAATTGAAGTTAATAACGAACATCACGAGCGGGCACCACAGACATTGGCATTACAAGTGGCTCTTATGTACTTCTAGTACTTTTAATATTTAGCTGCTTTTGGTGAAATAAAATGCGATAAAAGATATGATAAATACATGATGGATAATCTGTTAGAGTAAATAACTGCAAAAGATATAATCAACAAAAA